TTTAATGTAATATATGAATTATTGATGTGCCTTATTTCATTAATTATAGCAATATCAGATGGATAAGCTTTTGCTAGCATTTTATTAGGATAAAATAATTACCTTCATAACTACAAAACATATTTTCCTATCTCATTGTCGTCGTCGAAGATCCAATGTGGGAGTTATATTTTGATACATTCTCTGAAAAAAAATTTAATATTTTATACTGTCCTAATATAAAAGATTGTAGAATATGTAATTTTAAGAATTTTTTGATAATTTGTTAAACGTTTAATTAACTTTTTTTATTGCCTATATTTTATGCAGAAGTTTTGTAATAATATAATAATATAATAATCCTCCCCACCTTTTGTGTAAAATCCATTTTCAATATTTTACAACGATACCATGCTTCATATATTTAATACTGTATAGTCTTAAACTGATATATAATATATACCGTGTTTATATAACGGTAATCCTATGACAATAGTTCTTGTCACCATGACATAAAATTACGTAGTATGGATTATGTATCTGACACGTAGTATCTGCACATTGCAAATTTCTGCATAACGTTGAATCAAGTGTGAGATTAATGTTTAATGATGATGGATTATAATAAGGATTCCAACCAATATAATCCCAATGTGATTTGCATTACATGTACACTTATACGTTACTATTTGTTCCAATCACAAATTTTATTTTTGCCGACCTTTCTTCTGGAATTGTTTTTATTAGACTATCATAAAACCACTGTAAGAACAACACAATATTATAATTCAATTATTAAATTTGTCTTTTAAGTAATTTGTAAATTTATTTTTGTTTAGCGATTAAATTTTCTGATTATATATGATCATATAACAGTATATGCAATAGATATAGTAGTGTAAGTTACCATTGTGCTTGCGATAGCTCTATTTTTCTCCATTTATCATACGTTTCAATATAATACATCGTCGACATTTGACTTGTCTCTCAAACAATCTATTAATTTCTCTATTATCTAGAACAAAAATACATATTAAATATATCTTTAAAAATTGAATAAAAGATGTATTATTTAAAAAATAATTTTATAAAATTTGAGATAATAGAATATGAGAAAAACTATATTTTGACAGAGCACATACAATGTATTACTTATTAAAATCAATAAGTCATATACATGTATAAATGTTGACTAACCAGAGAAAATTGTTTCATCATACTGCAATCATTCGTCCTTGTAACATAGTCCAAAGAGAATTTGTCGTAATTTAGTTTACAACACATATACCCATCTTTATTTGTTGTATTACTTAAACAGTAAAACATTTAAAAAATAAAAAGGTATACACAGACAATACATGTACACATAATCAATGATAATTACTTAAAAAGAAGCAATAATGCGGATAATATTAAGACATTTATGCTTTATAAATAAATTAAGTGTATAGGATAAAGAAATTTGGAAGACAAATATATAAATTATTTAATTTATATTCAAATTATAATCATGTTTATTATATGCAAATTATAATTATAGAATTTGTGCATGTGTATGTGAAAAGAATAAAAATTAGAAAAATGAGATGGTTATCTCTCTTTCTCTCCCCCTTCTCTTTCCCACCCTTTCTGTCCCCTCTCTCCCTTTCTCTCAATTAAATTTATACTTACTATTTCGGTTTCAAATATATTCGAAGCTCTGTCTCTGTAATTACAATTGAGTATATCCCAAATCTGCGTATTATACTGTGACATATTGTTAGCAAAAATATACTTTGACTGCCTGCTTTAATCTATAACAAAAATAAGAATGAAAAATTAATTATATTTTAAAATACATACCTACATATGTAGTTATAGCATATACTACAATAAAATTTAGCATAGTGCGTTATAATTTATTATATGTAATAACTTACATAATATAAGAAATAATACTTACATTATTTACAATCATTTATTAAGAATGAATCAACCATAACTGATTTAATTTATGAAAATATGAATCTGAAAATATAATTCTTTCGATTGTAACAAAATTTGCCGTATTTCTTTCTCATTCCAATAACTGTAATTTATATTATTGTTTTCCACGAATTATAATTCTCATTAGCTCTCGTGAATATTGCATGCATTGCATTTCGTTCCCCAAAAGCTTGCAATATATTTTGTGCAATCTTATCTAATAAAGTTTTTAGGTATAGATAAGAAAATATATTTTCAGGTCTGAGCAATTGCACCGCAATATTAATTATTCGTTCTAAAAATTGTTGGTCCTTGGGTTCATTTTTAAATTGCTTACATTTGCTCTTGATACGATTATATTTTAGTATTGGAATAAAGTATAGACTGTAATATCTTTGTGTTAAATTTGGCCAGGTTTCCTGAAAAATTTACATATTGTTAAATATTTAAATTGTTTAAATATATAGCTATATATTATAAATATAGATTATAATATTATATGTTACGTATATGTATAAATATCAGTATATAAAAGTTCATTAAGTTAATTCGGCAGTAATCACGACGGAAATCGCGATTCTTGTGGAAAAGAAATTTCTGAAGGCAGATCGCGGGCGCGAAGCGGGAGCGGGCGCACGTGGTCGCGAGGCACGGCGCGTTTCCAATACGCGTATTCTCACGCGGGGGGTGATCTCGCGGCGAGAATGAATGTGAGAGCGAGAGCGAGGCTGGGAACTGGCCCCGACATTATCTTGGAGAGACGGAGCGCGCTTCTATCTCTTGCCGGTGACAGGATTGATTTCCGAATTGACGGTATCTTGTCAGAGTGATGCGATTTCTCAGCAGAGGCAGAGTACCTTTCTACCTCGTACTCTGAGTACCGGTCCGGAGATCTGGCTTATTCAGAATCAGAAAATGGATCTCTCGCCTAGAATCTAATCTCGCTTTTCATGCCGCCGGAGATAGATCTGCGGCGAATTTCAACGTGACGGCGGCGTTCAGCCGACTTCGTTAGCCGTTGGGTGCGTTCGGCTCCGAGCTGTATAACGGTATATACTAAGCCGTTTTTACGTCTATTATGATAAAAGATTATAGGGCGTTTGCGCTTGCTGCATTGCCCGAACGGTGGTTGCCGGGTGCAACTTCCGATGGTCAATTGGGAACGATGGGGGTGGTGGCATCATTACAATATTATATTACGTATATGCATAAATATTAGTTCATTAAAGTAGTAAAGATTTTATTAAGTTATACCATGCAGGTTGTGAAAACATTCTTTTAGATTCATTTAGAATAAGATAATATTTTCTTGAAGACACGTTGCTAAAAGTAATTTTGAAATCAAGTCTTCCTTAACATTGTTGTTGTTTTCATCTATGTATATTGAAATATCAATTCCCACATTTCTTTCCAATGTTTTATATTTGCTTTTAATTGTTCCTTAAAAATTAGTCGACTATGATCTTCACTTATAAGAGTTTTAACAAGGCTCTGTAATATAAATATAAATTAACGTATAAGACGAGCAACAAGAGCCAAATCGCGGATGACAATGCGTTATCCTAACAAAACTAAATAATTTTCGTTAGAATTAAATATCGGTGCACAAGGCACCAAATTTACTGGACACGGCCAAGATTTAAATATGAAATAATCTCATCTTTTGAGATTTAATTTCAATACCCCTTTTAACCCCCACGGAAAATAAATAAAGAATGTAAGAGGAAAATATAGATCCGAAATCGCTGAATCGGGAATCCCGATTCAGCGATTTTCGGATCTAATTTCTCTTACATTCATTTATTTATTTTCCGTGGGGGTTAAAAGGGGTATTGAAATTAAATCTCAAAAGATGAGATTATTTCATATTTAAAATCTTGGCGTGTCCAAGTAAAATTTGGTGCCTTGTGCACCGATATTTAATTCTAACGAAAAAATTATTTAGTTTGTTATGATAACGCATTGTCATCCGCGATTTGGCTCTTTGTGCTCGTCTTATACGTTAATTTATATGATCTTCACTATTTATGCTGTATAAAATTCTTAAAACAGGCACTAAAATTTAAAATAAAAACACAATAAATATTTTCTATGATTCTTAGGAGTACATGGACATAATTACGGAATTAACAATAATATATACACTGGTAAAAAAATTAGAAGAGCCCTTAAATATCATTTCTAAAAAAGGCATGCTAAGTCGATTCTCGAAAGTTCAAATGCATTGTTACCACTTTTCTGCGATGCTGATTGGTTCTGTCACAGCGTTTACTTTGTGAGCGACTGTCATTGCATATTTTGACAGTTGTACACGTATCGAGAGGTTATAGTGTAGTGACAGTATATAATGTATATTAAAGGATTTGGTGTATCTAATAGTTAAAATCTGATAATTAGTGTTTATTAATTTTGTGATGAGTGGTTTCGATTACACAGTTTCTCAGTTTCTTAGAAAAGGAAATAGAAATTCGGTAAATTAAAATTATGTATATATAGAAATTCGGGTAATTTAGATTTTTAGATTATGTACATATTTCCATTATAAGAATAATACCGAATTTGAAATCAATATATTTACTAACATTACAGATGTATTATCTATGTTAAATATAACAACAAAGAAATCGATAACTGTAATACTGACAACAAGATTTTGAAGGAGACGATTGAAAATTTAAATAATAAACTTTAATTTAAATAATAAATATAGAAATAATGAAAGATTCAAACACAAAATCGCTATGTACGATTAGCAATAATATAATACTGAAGACAGTTATATTCCAAAAAAGTTTATAAAACGCTTGATACTTATTTAACAAAACTTGTAGAAAGAGATGGAATGTACAATCTGGAATTCAGTCATCATGTCATTCAATTTTTCTTTCAAGAGTAATAACTGTTTCGTGAATTCTCTCGTGTAAAGTCCCGGTATAATTTTGCATCTCCACGGGCGACGCGAGCCGAAGCACAGGCTTCTAGTTTTTATTTAATGCAGCAGTAGGCGCGATGGTATGAGAGAGTTTGATTGAAATAAACTGTAATGACTTGATCCTCGTATAATATTGATTTATTAAGATTATGCGCGACTATGTATTGCGATGCGCTCCTCGAGACATGAAGATTAGCAAGTGACCTGTGCGATTTATTTCAGGCCGCAAAGGTAAGCCTTCGTTGTCGATCCGAAAACGCCGATACATCCCGGAATCCGCGATTGATATTTTGACCGTTCATGTTTATGTGATTGACCGTTCTTCGTTCACGTGATAAGACCAACAAAGTGATGAGACAATGATGCGTATACAGGGTTTGTCCGGAAAGTAATGCGTCGCATTTTTAAAAAAGAATTTATTGATCGCATAGGTAAAACAACTTAAAATTGTTCGAAGTATGACCCTTCTGCGTCAATACATTTTTGCCAACGCGATTTCCATGCGTCATAAGATTTCTGGAACTTTGACTGGGATGCTGTTCAGGGAGGCCGTCGAAGTAGCTTGTACGTCGGTGCCATTCCGCACTCTGCCTCTTTGACTCCGGATCGTACTGAAAGACCCATGACTCATCCCCAGTGATAACGTTGTTCAGGAAATTGGGATTATCTGCACAGAGTTGCTTGAGTTCTTCACAAACTTCCACTCGGTGTTGCTTTTGCGCATCGGTCAACACTCTGGGCACAAGTTTTGCGCAAATCTTCCGCATGGCCAAGTCTTCCGATACAATCTCGTGAACAATCGTTTTCGGCAAGTTCAATAATTCCGACATTAAGCGAACATTCATTCGACGGTCTGAATTCAATAATTGGCGCACACGAGTCACATTGTCGTCCGTTCGCGATGTTGACGGGCGTCCTGCGCGGGCCTCGTCGGCGACCTCCTTCCGACCTTCTCTAAACATCTTGTGCCATCTGTTTGACTGCGATTTGGAAAGGCAATCGTCCCCGAAAACTTTCTTGAGCATTTCAAAAGTTTCCAGCGGCGTCTTGTCCAGCTTCACGCAAAACTTTATCGCATAGCGTTGCTCTATCGTTCTCTCCATCACAAGTTCGACGCGACCACTAAGCAGAGGTTCACAGAATAAGCCGTCCTAACCCTCCAAGCGCATGGAAACAATGAGCGACCTACCGTTGGAAAGCTAAGGGTACCCCCCTTCCTCCCCAACCGGTCCCATCGCTCTGCGATGTATAGTCGCGTCACAAAAAAATGCGACGCATTACTTTCCGGACAAACCTGTATATATATAATATATATATATATATAATATATATAAGAAAACCGTGTCTCTCTTGTCTCGACCAGCACATCCCAACAGATACATGTCCAAACATCGTGCAATTCGTGAAATATAATAACATGGAATAATAATTCTAAACACCGGCCGCCTTGGAAGACGTCGTTTACAATAATAATAAATAAACTCGGGTTCACATACATGCGGCAGGCATACAATATGATTGATACGCTTCGTCAAATAACAGTACAATAAATATGTATATTAAATAATATGTTTGTAACGCAAAGAAAATAAATAATATATAATGAGTAAAGTATAGTATAAATGATAAGAGTCGTCCTCAATTCAAATATCTAAAGCGATTTAAATAATTTGTCATTAACGCTATTTGATTATTCAGCGCGGTCAAACTTTATAACTAATTGCAAAAGAAACATCCTGTTTTTTTTGTTTTTTTTTTGCATTCATATAGCACGTTCATGTTATGAATGTAGTACAATTGATTGTCAAGAAACAAAAAACAATATATATATTTTTTACAAATGCTAATCTTCTAGAGGCAAAATTGATAATTTTGAAAGAGGCCTGACAAATGATCCCTTGGCCGTGATTATTGTGGCTGTACGGGCGATGCCATCAGTTCCAGGATGAATTTCCTTCACGCGGCCAAGCGCCCACTGCAGAGGCGGAAGGCCCGGTTGCATGACTAGCACCATCTTGCCAACGCCCATCTGCTCTCCCTTGTTGCTAGTCCATTTCTGCCGCTGCTGGCAATTGATTTAAGTATTCGCGGCTCCAACGACTCCAAAAAT